CCAGCATCCTCCCCCTACACCCCTCTCTCTCAGCCACAGAAAGAAATAAATGCAGAAATGGAGTCACCGGCTCCTTCCTCGTCCGAGGGGGTGGGACGGGCGTGAAACCGCAGCAGAAGGACCCCATGATGCCCCCCCCCCCAGTCTCTTCCTCCCTCCTCCAGCAACCAAAGGCTCTGGGGCAGAGCGGTGGCCGTCACCAGTGATGAGCCCAGCGCCAGCCCTGCTGTTACTGTAGTTTAATTGGAAGCTGCTTGTCCAAAGCGTGGGGTTATTGGGGGGCAGCAGGGTCCCTCCATGGGCCCCAGAGCCCTTCCCAGCAGCCGGGATTCCTCGGCAAAACACCAGTTCATTAAGGCTGGGGTGGGGCAGGGGAGAGTGGGGGGAGATTGGGGCCCGAGTCCTGGGTGTGGGGCTCTGCCTGGCCACAGCCGTGGCATCGCATCCCCATCCCATCTCCATCCTCATCTCCTTCCCCATCCATCTGTCCCCATCTCCTTCCCCATCCCATCCCCATCCCATCCCCTCCCAATCTCCATCCCCTCCGTCTGTCCCCATCCCCATTCCATCTCTTCCTACACACACGGGTGGGGGCTGCCAGGCTCTCTCTGTTATCCTCCCCCCCAACCCACCTGCTGGGTCCCCACACAGGGTGACACCTCCCCTGCCCCAAATTCACCTCCCGGGGTCCCACAGCACAGAACCCCCTGCCCTCTCTAGGGGCACTGGGGCAGCTCCACGCCAGGCCCTGACCCCGCTGCCCCCCAGCACGGCCTCTGCCAGTCCCTGCGCCCCCAACTCCAGCCTGAAGCCCTTTGTTCTGCCCCCAGCCCCGGCCCCCGCAGCCCTCGGCTGTCCCCAGGCACCGCCATGACACCGAGCCGTGGCCGTGCTGCAGCGGGGACACACACCCCAGGGTCAGAGCCGTGCACACTAGTGTGACAGCCGTGCACACACCAACATTGTGCTAGAGCTGTGCACGCTGCAGCTGGGACAGGCATGTCACATTCATAGAACCACGGAATGGTTTGGGTGGGAAGGGACCTCAAAGACCATCCAGTGCCACCCCCTGCCCTGGGCAGGGACACCTCCCACCAGCCCAGGTTGCTCCAAGCCCCCTCCAACCTGCCCTTGAACCCCTCCAGGGATGGGGCAGCCACAGCTTCTCAGGCCAACCTGGGCCAGGCTCTCACCACCCTCACACCAAAGAACTTCTGCCCCACATCTCAGCTCAATCTCCCCTCTTTCAGCTTCAAACCCTTCCTCCTCGTCCTGTTGCCCCCCTCCCTGATCCAGAGTCCCCCCCAGCTTTCCTGCAGCCCCTTGAGGGACTGGAAGGGGCTCCAAGGTCTCTACGGAGCCTTCTCTTCTCCAGGCTGAACCCCCCCAACTCTCTCAGCCCCCGCTCCCAGCAGAGGGGCTCCAGCCCTCCCAGCATCTCCGGGGCCTCCTCTGGACCTGTTCAGACAGATGTCAGAGCTGTGCACGCTGTGTCACGGCCCTGCACACCACAGCGGGGACACGCATCCCGTGTCAGAGTCATCCCACCCGTACTGCCACGCTGTGACAATCCTGGCTACAGACACACTCTCTCTCACGGACAGACAGACAGACAGACAGGGGTCCCCGGGGTTACTGCTCTGAATCTGCTGAGAAACCGGCCGGTGGTCCATGGACTTGGGGGTCCCATGCTCTGGGGCTGAGGCCTCTGCACGGGGCTGCTACATGGGTTAGGTCAGTGTGAGTGCCCTCCCTGCAGCGATGAGTACCATTAGCCGTGTTTAAAAGGTGGGGAAACTGAGGCACGGGGCTGCAGAGGGACCAGGGCGGGAGGGGGACACACCCCCCCTCATCTTATGACACCCCACAGCAGGACCCAGGCATCTGAGCCACACTTGGAGGGTGGGAGAGATCTGGGGGTGCACAGCCCCTGCAGCCCGGCCACTTGTTCCCCCTTGTCATTGGTCCCTCCAGCACCCGGCATCGCTGGGGACACTCGGGGGGACACTTGGGGGGACACCGGAGCTGCCAGGTGCGTGGGGCAAGGCCGCGGTGAAGGCGCCGATGATGGCAGCGTTGCCCAAAATGGCCAGTCCTGCAGTGCCAAAGGTGCCGGGGAGCCCCGGGATGGGCAGGTGGCCCCGCAGCCAGCCCCGGCGCGAGCGCGCGTCGCAGAGAACGGCCTCCAGCTGGAAGTGGGTGCCCAGCACCGCGCAGACGTGGAAGAGCTGGTGGCTGTGTCCTGCCCAGGGCCAGAAGCCAACATCACCCCTGGGTGCCAGGGCTCCTCACCCAGCTTTGGGGGGCAGGGGACTGGAGCCCTGGCACTGGGAAGCACTGGGGGGCACTGGGAGGCCACTGCTCACCGATGTAGTCGAAGCGGCCGGGCGCCAGGCGCTCGGGGAGGTGGGAGGTGAAGAGGAAGGCGGTGAGAAGCGCGAAGAGGAGGTGGTAGCAGTAACCGGCCACGGCGTCACTCCAGGGGCTGTTACTCCAGAAGCAGAAGAGGAGCTGTGTGGGGAGGGAGGGGGTGAGCAACTGTGGGGGGGGGGGCGACACACAAACACCCCTGGGACCCCCATGGTGGTGGCACCCACCCCCTGAC